TGATTAAGGAATCTCGTAGAAACTTGTGAACCTGACTTGTTTAATCTGATCGACGATCGTGGTATTTTTGTTGGTTGACTTCTCTCAATTTTGTGGAATGTATTATCTATAAGCGCGGTGATTGCTATTTTTTTTTTTTTTAATTAGGTTAGATTCCTTGCATCAATTGAAATTGAAATTTGAAGATTACAGATAGATAGATGATGATAAATCAAAATTGCTGTAAAAAACTTACTACACAGTACACAACATTTTCAAACTAATGATGTTTGCATATGCTAGGTTGAGATCCGTGAAATTTGCGATTAGTTAAATGTAGATGTTGTAGTTCACTACATCTGGATTATCTTGTGATACTTGTATGCCTGCAATTTGCTTTTATTGCTGTTTATGGAGAAGAAATGTCCTTTTTTTTTTTTTTTTCTTTCAACAAGCTTGTTTAAAATTATAAATATTCTATTATTTCTGATTCCTACTTAATTTGAGCATCCTCTCTATTTGGATGGAGAGGAAGAATGTGATTGAGAAAATCGAAATCTAACACGTGACATTAAAGTGCTGATAATTTAACATGTGATAATTTCGGCCTGCGGGATGACATGTGTTGTTCTACCAAATTATATGCAGGTTATACTTCCTACGTTATCAATTTTCGGCCAGAATATGTCTATTTTGCATCAAGTCCCTGAAGGTCATGTTGGGGTTTACTGGAGAGGAGGTGCACTTCTCAATGTGAACACAGATCCAGGTATATTTATACACATAAATATCGCATTAGCATGCATTTATGGTGCCCTTTCATCATTTAATATCTTTAGACTGCAACTAATCCAACTTAGCTCTTTTCCCTTTTTCCTTTACGCATCTTTGACCGAAGGTTTCCATTTGAAATTGCCCCTGATAACTTACTTTGAGCCTATTCAAGTCACTTTACAGACAGATTTGGTAAGAATCTCTCTTTCTCTGACATATTAATGTGTGTGTGTGTGTGCGCGCATGTGTGTATTCTCCACCTGTGACCCGTGCATTTTCTTTGTGCGGACAATTTGACATAAAATATTCTAAAATTCCGGAGTTGTGACTGACGAATATGATTGTGTCATTTTGATTTGTAGGTGAGGAATATTCCTTGCGGAACTAAAGGAGGTGTTATGATTAATTTTGCGAAGATCGAAGTAATATTTCTCATCTTAACAAGTTTACTACATATGTCTTGTATTTGGTTGGTCAATGCATACGTTAATAGCATGCATACTTCAGGTTGTTAATCGTCTTCACAAGGACTACGTATATGACACATTGCGCGACTATGGTGTTAAATATGACGACACATGGATATACGACAAGATCCATCATGAGATTAATCAGTTCTGTAGTGCTCATTCCCTTCAGCAAGTTTATATCGATATGTTCGATCAGGTAACTCGTTGAACATCAGTATTTGAATAAGTATTATTTAACTTAACCGCATTCTCCTTGTCCAATTAGAGATCTTTCGATCTAACGTCACTGTCGTGAATTGACTTTGCAATATTAGACTAGCTGACCTTTTGTAGACTGTTTGAAATAATATTCTTTTATCTGATGCTTATCTTAATGTGAACTACCTTCAAAATTTTCAGATTGATGAAAAAATGAAAGATGCTCTTCAGGCGGACTGCACGCGTTATGCTCCAGGTATTGAAATTATTAGTGTGCGTGTTACTAAGCCATCCATTCCTGAAAGTGTAAGGCGGAATTTTGAACAAATGGAAGAGGAGCGCACCAAGGTATATCTTTAGATTCTTATGTTGGGTCTTAGGCCATTCATGTGTATTTTGATTCTCTTCACTGAAACCCTAGATCCTGTTCTTTCAACTATGAGTGTCTAATTGAATATGGATAATACAAGATAGTTTATAAATTAGCTTTTGCAGCTGCTTACTTGTAACGTGCTGAATGGACTATTTGATAACAGGTGTTGATTGCAGAAGAGAAACAGAGAGTTTCCGAGAAGGAAGCTGAAACCAAGAAAAAAATTGCTATAAGTGAAGCTGAAAAAAATGCTTATGTTAGTAAGATCCAAATGGAACAGAAGTTGACGGAGAAAGACAGTTTGAGGAAAGAAGCGGAAATTTCTAATACAATGTACTTGGCTCGTGAAAAGAGTTTGGCTGATGCTGACTATTACCGGTAAGCCTCTTGGCTTCTTTTCCATCACTTTTCTCCGAGTATACTTTAGAATTGAACTATCAGATAAACAAACATGGTTTAGATATTGCTGATTTATGCAGTATACAAGTAGTCATATAAATGAGCAATATAATTGTTTAAACAGTATCCCGAGAAAATAAATGGCCTGTCTATATAACTTATCAGTTAATTTGGAGATATCACCTGTTAATCAGTTAAGATATTCACCATTATATCAAAATTATGAGCTGAAGTAATTAATATAAGATCAATTTACCAGGAAATAACAAGTTAAAAATAGATATTTGTTATTTCCAAATAGAGAATGAGCTTACGCTTACGTTCTTCTACAATGTACATTCTCTAGCACAATGAAAGAAGCAGAAGCAAACAAGTTGAAGCTTACTCCTCAGTACTTGGAACTCAGGTTTATTGAAGCTATTGCCAACAAGTCCAAGATATATTTCGGCAACAAGGTAAGTGTCCATTTTCTTACCACCCCCCCGCTCTCTCTCTCTCTCTCTCTCTCTCTCTCTCTCTCTCTCTCTCTCTCTCCCACCCTCCCTCCCTCCCTCATTTATTTATTTATTATTTCTTTTTGTTGTTGATATAAATTTGGTGTACAGATACCCAACATGGTTCTTGATCAGAGGCTGCTCGGAAACTTCTTGCAAGATGTAGTCGTGAAAGAGAACTTGGAAGCCTGAGTTTCTACTCCACTTTGATGCTGAGAATGGGAATTCTTTCTTTGTCTTGGTCAACGTTTTCATATAATTACATGCTTTGAAACTAGGAAGATGGGTTAACCATTTGCATAAGATGGCTGTTTTGCAATGCTAGACTTTGTTCATTTTACTTGCGCATCAGATTCTTGAATATGTACAGGATACGTCCTTTTGTTGCTAATTGGTCCACCCTTCATATATTTTCACTGATAATCTATAACCATAATTTTCTTACCAGCAGCGTATCTGTCTGCATTTACGTTAAAAGCTCGCGTGTCTTCATATTCGTCTTCGAATTTCTTAATTTATTAGCCATTAAAATTAGATAGCAATTCAACGTTATGTGTTTTTGTTTTCACATTGTATGATTTGGTATTGCACTAATGACAATTAAAGAAACAGGTCATTTTCGTGGTTCATTGTCAAAAGACTTTTCAAATCACGAAAGCACATCGTGTATTGAGTATCGACTATCGCAAAGTTATAGCGACAACAGGGTTGGAGTACTAATTAAAAAGGCAATTTTCATTTTGTAACTTGCCAATATCGTAATTTTCCATACATGTGTATAAATTCATATATATGTTATACACATCCATTTACATATTTAAATCAAAAATGAAAAACTATCTAGGGTAATACACTACATGTAGCATCAAAGAGAGAGATGGGTTACTTGGTCAAAAGGAAATATGGTTAAATTATGAACCGATGTCAAATTACGAAAAAACTCCTTTTGGTTGAGTGTAATCACAATCACCAATCGACTATGAATCTTCTTACACGTTCATCCTTATGGTGACAAATTCAACAAAATATTCTACATTCAGTAGAATGTTCTCTAGTTTGTACTCATTTTGTGCAAATGCAGTTTTCGATGCACTACAATATGATATTTACAAAGCAAAAGACACATCTTATGATCATCTTGTTTCAAAATGTGGAGCTCAAATGGGATAAAACGGTTACAAACTAAAGAATATTCCATACAGTCTAGAAGATTCCACTAAATTTGACACTGCAAGGGTAGACGTGCAAGAAGATTTAATGTTGATGGATGATTGAAATTATCAAAACAAAAGGGTATTTTCATAATTTGCCCAAGAAAATACTGTAATTTATCAAAAAAAAAAAAATATATATATAAATATAAAAGAGAAGGAAGCAGCAAAATCATGTTGAATTTTGTTTTGAACTTTGAATGAATTGAAGTCAAAGTCGTTGGAGGGCAAACGAAAATGAGGAGGTGTAGGCAAGTAGCAGTTAAATAAAGGAAAGCCATCTAATTAGGGTGTCTGTTATTTCAAGTTTTCAACCCCACTGACATCAACGCTTTTGTTTTAGGGGGTATTTGTCAAACACCCCTCTTTGCAATTTGACTTCTTGATAAATCCAATTTTATTAATTGATATTTGTTATAAATCCAATTGACTCAAATTATCCAAAATACCCCTATTTAATATTACATAAAATTTCCATATAATATTATTTTAAAAAAACCATTATTTTTTGGTAGATATGCAAATCCCCCTATTTTCTCCCCACCATCCCCTATTATCTCCTATCACGCCTCTTTCTCCAATTAGTTAATTAATTAATTGGGTTTTTTTTTTTAATTTATGTTTTAGTTTTGTCGTATTTTTTTTATTTTTTAAATGATTGTTTTTATACATCTTTTTTTTAAAGTTAAATTTATTAAAATAAAAATTATTTTTTACAAATTGAAATTCACTATAAACTTACAAAAAAACCACTATGCGATTATAATATTTTGTTACGAAAATCCCTTATAAACTTATCGAAAATCTCTATGTAATTAATAAAAACCACTATATAATTAATGATAACCACTCTGTAAATTAACGAAAATTACTATGTAATTATCAAATTCCATTAAAAAAAATCACTAAAAACTTATCAATTAACAAAAACCACTTTATAATTAATGAAAACCACTCTATAATTAACGAAAATCACTATATAATTAACGAGTTTCATTACAAAAATTCAGTAAAAACTTACCAATTAACGAAAACCACTCTGCAATTAATGAAAACCGCTATGTAATTAACAAATTTTATTACAAAAATTCACTATAAACTTATCAATGAACAAAAACCACTCTATAATTAATGAAAACCACTCTGTAATGAACGAAAATCACTATGTAATTAACGAGTTCCATTAAAAAAAATCAGTAAAAAATTATCAATTAACGAAAACCACTCTGCAATTAATAAAAACCGCTATGTAATTAATGAAAATCACAATATAATTAACAAATTTCATTACAAAAATTCACTATAAACTTATTAATTAACAAAAACCACTCTATAATTGCAGAGTGGTTTTCGTTAAGCAAACAGGTTGCGGGCAAGGCTAATAATGCTCATGAAGTCTTTCTTGTGGAAACAAGCTCTTCGTCGCCGTTAATGGCAAATCTGCCGTCCATCAAGGTGAGAACTGAAGGTTACAAGCAGACGGTTGGGCTGGATGAGCAGTTCTCTCATGTGGAGCATTGCTTCGGGATTGGCAAATGCAGCTCCACCACCTCTTTCTACTGTTGGCGGCGCCGCCGCCGCCACATCAGGTGGAGGAGAAAACGTGAGTCGGGTAATCTCAAATCTGCGATGATGAGAAATCGGAAAAGTCGGATCATGGAACGGTGGCGGCGACAAGGCTGAGGAAGCCACCATTTCCATTGCCATTGCAACTAGTGCAGAGGAAGTTTGCTGATATTCATTAAGCAGGGGTCTGTCCAATGGGGACATAGGGGAGGTATGTGCTAATTATTTAGAAAATGGGGACTATTTTAGTTTATTAGACATTAAGCAGGGGTCTGTCCAAATAACTCTTAATCTTACCTATATATTATGGATTTTTAAACGCTAATAACAATAATTCGTAATTTACCATTGGGCTAAATTTGATGGGTTTGGGTTTCTTATGGTCCAATAATATAAATTATAATTATTTTTGAATGAAATTACTTAATTTTATTTTGATTAATGTTATATTAGGAACTAAAGGAGAGATCGATATTTGAGTCTAAACTGTAAAGAGGCCGTACAATTGGGTCTATATGATATTTCCAAACTATATGGCATCG